AGGAACGGAACTGCGTGAACCTGAACCGCTGTTTCAAAACCGCAACCGAACCACCCTAAACCCTAAACCCTAAACCCCTAAACCCCTAAACCCCTAAACCCTAAACCCTAAACCCTACACCCTAAACCATAAACCGAGCCGTTAAATTCAAGGTGTAGGGTTTAGGGTGTTTTATTCGGGTTTAGGGTTTTTAACTCGGGTTTCGGGTTTAGGGTTTTTAATTCGGGTTTAGGGTTTTTAATTGGGGCTTAGGGTTTTTCATTCGGGTTTAGGGCTTAGGGTTTTTAATTAAGGCTTATAGGGCTTTTGGTTCGGGTTTAGGGTTTAGGTGTAGGGTTTTTGATTACGGCCTGTGTGGATGCTGATGCAAGTGCCGGAGAACCCCACACAGAGGAATCCAGTCGGTCACCTCAATGTCCTCGCTAGAACCGGTGAATGTCCTACAGGTGTCTTGGTACACTGTGCACAGACGTGGAATGCATTCAAGTTGTGGACTTGTTGTGGATAGCGACAGGCACTCATGTCACGTTTGCTGGGCAATGTGGTCTTGCACTCAACACCGGCGAGACCACACGGTACTATGGGTCGCACTTCATGCAGCTGCTTGCCGCAGCGGCAACAAGCATCCGAACTGCCGTACACACGCTGGAACAACTTCCAGGCTCCCCGTACTGCAACACCCACCAGTACTCCTGCGACTTCCCGACCTCCATGTTGCCTTGAAGCTCTCGGATCTCCTCCTGGGCCAGCTGTGCCTCTGCTTGTGCCTTCTTGCACTCCTCGTCGGTTGACTGTGAGTAGGGTTTAGGGTTTAGGGCTTTGGGACACAGGACTCATGCGTGGCAAACTCGCGTTAGTTGCTTGAGCTCGACAGCATGAACTACTGACATGTGCTGGCATCGCAACTGCCTGTGCCCCAAATCGCCCTGTCTCCGAAGACAATCATGTGGAGCCCTGATAGAACGCCTTCACCCTAAGCATCCATGCACCCAAATAGTATATAATTTGGACCCAAATTACCTACATACTACTTCTTTGAGGCCAAAGTAATATAATGCTTGGGCACGTGGACCCATGGGGCAGAACCCTAAGCCCAAAACCTAAAACTCTCAACCCTTTAAGCCCTAAGTTTGAAGCGCTCGGAACCCTAACCCCGACACCCCAAACCTTATTACCCTGAAATCTCTTTATGCCCTAACATTTAGGTGCCCAAAACCCTAAACTCTAAACCCTCAACCCCGTGAGCCGCAAATTTGAAGTGCTTCAAACCGCAACCCTAAACCCTCAACCCGAAATATTGAACCCTAAACCCTAACCCCTAAACCCTAAACCCGAAATATTGAACCCTAAACCCTGAAAGCCCTAAACGCTAAACCCAAAACCCGAAATATTAAACCCTAAACCCTGAAAGCCCTAAACCCTGAAAGCCCTAAGCCCTAAACATTAAACACTAAACCCTGAAAGCCCTAAGCCCGAAATATAAAGCCCTGACCCAGAGGCCCCTAAGTAGTTCGTTTTTGGGATTACCTTGTAGGATTCTAAATATAGACCACAAAAGGGAACTACTTAGGGGCCTATGGGTAACCCCTAAACCCTAAACCCTAAACCCGAAATATTACACCCTAAACCCTGAAAGCCCTACCCAGAGGCCCCTAAGTAGTTCCATTCTAAAACTTAGGGGCCTCTGGGTAACCCCTGAACCCTAAACCCTAAACCCGAAATATTACACCCTATAACCCTGAAAGCCCTACCCGGAGGCCCCTAGGTAGTTCCTTTTTGGGATTACCTTATCGGATTCTAAAACTTAGGGGTCTATGGGTAACGACCCCTGAAAGCCCTAAAGCAAGTCGAGGCCGAGGCCCAAGGCAGGTAGGGCGCTCGGAAGTTGAAGAAGAGCACCTTCTCCGGGTTTACGGTTTAGGGCGTGAGGGTTTAAGGGTTCAGGGTTTAGGGTTTAGGGCTTGCGGGTTTAACGGTTTCAGTGTTTAGGGGTTTCAGAGTTTAGGGCATATGGTATAAGTTGAAGAAGAGCACCTTCTCCTTTTTGGGGTTTAGGGCTTCCGGGCTTAAGGGTTTAAGTGTTTAAGGGTTTCAGAGTTTAGGGCATCTGGTATAGGGTTTAGGGCCTCAGGGTTTAGGGTTTAGGGCTTTTAAGGGGTT